CTCTATGCTATTCTCTCTCTTATAGCTTCATACCTGTACGGGATAAACATGTGTCATCCAGCGTCCCATTCACTTGCATTTTGATCACCTCAAGTTCTCTTCGATATTGATGTTGATTCTTATTCCTTAGACTAATTCGAGTTTCAGGAAAGGACACACAAAAAAATATCCTTAAAGGAAAGACTGATATTCTTCACTGTGGACTAATTTTTGAAATGGTATTAAGCATATCATGGATTATTGTGAATAAAAAACTGTAGGACAAACCAACATTTGAATTATTTTTATTGCATTTTGTGGTCTTGCTTCAATCCTACCATTTCCTGATTAGTTGAGACAAAAGAAGAGATGGAGGACAGTGAAATTAGTGAGCTTAACAATCTTCTTTAATGATGGTAAAGATACCTTTCTTCCACATATAAGCCCATTGCTTAAAAGACAGATTCTTGAGATAATATTCTTTTTATCTCACTAATTAAACATAAAGCTAGGCTGGGAGTGCTTTGGAGACGTGTCCTCATCAGCAGGGCCTGGCTCTCGTGGCTGTGTTTTTAATTCAAGCCTAATTTAATTATTAGCACCCTGCCACTGGGTCGGTTGCTGTGCCGCCTTGGATCTCTGGCCTGAGGAGAAATGTGCAGCCCCTGTTCTTTTTATTTCTAGTTAGCCTCATGAAAGGTAGGATGTCCAAGGAGAGAGAGGAGCTTTGCTTCTCCGTCATGTTTTGCAGACGGTGCTAATTGAGCTGACAGTCTTGGACGGCAGTCTGGTATGGCTGCAGCTGAGTCTTGAGCTGATACCCAGTGAAGGGATTGCAAATGTCAAATGGCTCATCTTTGCCCTTCTGGCTCTTGAAATATGGAAGGGAACTGATCAGGGGCAACTCCTTAGTCTGCATGCTTGAGTAACTGCAAGCAACACAAAACTACGAAGAAATAAGGTATTCAAATCCTAGTGGTAATGGCGACACCAACTCCTCACTCTCCCTACCCAATGCGCTAATGAGGAAAGGAAAATGGGAAACTTCTTGGCTTCCCTAATTGCTGTGCTTTGCCCTCGTAACTTTTTTGTTCCTGCTTATCATGGTAAGAGTCTTGTTTCTGTCAATCATTTCTGGTTCTTTCTGCCTAGAAAATAACAGTGCGTATTTTTTGAGCCTTGAGAGTATTCCAGCCCCTTCTCTTCCATAATTATAACATGGAGAATGATGACGATGATTTTCTTTAAATTTTACTTTGCAATAATAAGCCATAGCAATCAGGAAAAGATTTGTTTTTCTGAAACTTCTCCTGCGGTAGTTTCCAAATTTTCCTCAGAACTATAGAACTGTAGATTTGTTCACTTTTACCACGATTCTGGATTATGAGTGTGTGTTATTTTTCTACCTTTTCCTCTGTCACAGTAGAGGCAGCATTGTGTAGTGAACAAATCATGGACACTAGTGCAAGACAAAACTAGTCTTGAAAACTGGCTCTGTTCTCTACTAGGTTGGATTTGTTACTTTGCCTCCCTGAGCATGAATTACCCACTTGAAAAAAAAAAAAAAAACTCCCCCTTTCCAGGGCCATGCAGAAAATTAAGTCAAATAGTATATTTTAAGCAATCTAAAACCACTACTGCCACACAGTAGGTATTCAATAAATGTGTTCCCTTTCTATATTCACTCAACATTTTCCTTGCTTGCAGAATTCTTTCTGGTTCTTTTATTTGGCCAAAAAGATTTGATTTCTCTTCTGATTTTATTTCAGGTATAAATAAAGTCTGCTGGATCTTGGCTCAAATTGTCTCAGAGGTGTAAGATCGGCAGCTTGCTATTTGCAAAGATGAAGTTTTTTGGGACTTGAAGCTGATAGTTACTTTTACAAGGGAGAACAAACCACCAGTTTCCTCATGCTCTCCTTTTATGGTATAGTTCTTTGGATACGTGGTGATGTAACAGTAACAACAAACAACAACACCTGGTATGGTATGCCAGGAATTGTACTACACACTTTGTATCATTTGAAATCCTTACAGCAACTCTACAAGATAAATTTTATTATCACTACCTTACAGATAATAAACTGGAGCCCAGAGAAGTTAAGTGACTGGCCCAAGATCACACAACTACTATGCAAAGTCTGAGGGACTCCAAAGCCAATGCTTATCATTTAAGAGATAGAGAAAGAAGAAAGAAAAGAAGAAAGGAAGGAAGGAGAAAAGGAAGGAAGGAAGGAAGGAAGGAAGGGGAGAGAGGAAAGGAGAGAGAGAGAGAGAGAGAGAGATGAGACATTTCATTTTAGATGGATCGTCTAGCATTAGACTTTTCTCCTACCACAGCACTCATTTTTTTCCTTCCTAGTGAAATGTCAGCTTTGGAAATAATTTAACCCAAATAATCACTCTGTTGGAATAACTCTCTCCTGGTGCTGCTGTAATTTGGCTTACAATTATAGTTAATTGAACATCTTCGGAGTAAGCTTAGTACTGCATGCATGTGGAAAAAAATTTAATGTGCTAAGCATGCAAAAACATGATCTTAGAAGTTCATTTTTACCAGCAGAAAAAGAAAGCAATTAGTGAGACATTTTTCAGCAAGGACGAAAAAAAAAAAAATACTAAAAAAACCGATGGTCTTGAGACAAGCTCTAAGACGAACCCTGGGCCCCATTAAGAGTGCAGTAATGAAAAGGGTTTGTGAGCTACAGGTTGGCATCTGTGAAAAGGTTCTCCTTCTCAGGAATCAAGACACATTAGTCTCATTATTTGCAGATACTTGACAAGACAAGAGCCAGAGGGAAGCAGCAATATAGGAAATGCAGTGTGAAGAGAGGAGGTAGCTAATTAGAGGAAAAATAGAAGTAGATCTTCACAAATCTGTTCTAGAAAACCTCTTTCCAAAAGAGGGCATTTGAGAAGCAAACAGTCCTTCCTGTGGATATGACCTCCGTTCAGTAGGAACTTGGGAGGACACCTCATTTACCCCAGCACTGCCCACTGTCCTGATTGCAATTATGTATACAGTGACTCTTTTAGTTGAAAATTATCTTTTTTTTTTTTTTTAACTTTCTAAGGTATTCCTTTTAACTCAACTCATAAAAAGATTAAGCCCCAAAGTACCCCAGGCTAGGTGATGGCTCATTCCCTAGAGTACCTAGAGCAAAGGGATAGAAAGAGAGATATGGAGACAAATGTTCTTTAATCAGCTCCTTTTTCTCCTCTGTCTTTGCCAGAAGGGTTTATGCCTGAGCCGTCACCTCAGGTCCTTGGTCCTGCTTGTCATAAAGCCCTTTGGGAACTTGCTTGGGATAGAGTACCTGTGATTCCAGAATAATTGGGTAAGGAAACGAAAAGGCTGGAGGCAACAAAAAGATAAATCTAGTTGGAAGTACCACGGTTTTAATTTCTGCCTCCTAACCTGTACTGGTCTATCCACAAACTAATCAGAGAATGTGGGAACTTGTGACTTTGCAACTGTAGGTTGTAAGAAGAGGCTCAAAGGGATTTTAGAGGCGGGATGGCTGTTCTGATAGAAATTGTCTTCTAGAAACATAATTTCTAATTGGCAGAGGGAAAGTGGAGGAGAGAGGAGCTTGCCACAGACACTCAAGGAGCAATCAGTACTTCTGCTATCCAGTCCCGTTTGTGTATGAGTCCACGTTACTGCAGGAGGAGGAGAAAGCGGATATGCCTAAATGCACCAGTCAGAGTCAGGCTCTATATTCCTTTCTTTGCTCTTTAGGCCCCTTGTTGTCCTCTTTAGATATAGAGCAGTGGTTCTCAACTTGGGGCAATTTTTTCCCCTAGGGCACATTTAGAAATATCTGGAGACATTTTTGATTATCATGACTTGGGTGTGTGTGTATTAGGATTCTCCAGAGAAAAAGAACCAATAGCGGGTGTGTGTGTGTGAACACATTTATAAAATATTGGGTCACGAAATTATGAAAGCTGAGAAATTCCATGATCTTCTCTTAAGTGGGAGACCCAGAAAAGCTGGTGATACAGTTCAAAGCCTGAGAGCTGGAGAGCTGATAGTGCAGATTTCAGTTTGAGTCCAAAGTCCTGAGAACCAGGAGTGCCAAGGGCAGGAGGAGAGGAGTGTTCCAGCTCAGGCAGTCAGGCAGAGAGGGAGCAAATTCTCCCTTGCTCCACCTTTCTGCTCCCTCCTGGCCCTCAGTGGACTGGATGACGCCTACCCACACTGCGGAGAGCCATCTGTTTTTGTCAGTTTACTGGTTCACATAGAACTAGTCAAATAGTTTCTTCTGGAAACGCCTTCACAGACACACCCAGAAATAATGTTTAAGCAGATATCTGGGCATCCCATTAAGCCAGCCAATTGGACACAAAACGTGAGGTATCACAGGGGTTGTTACTGGCATCTGGGGGGGGGGGGGAGGGCCAAAAGCTGCTAAACATCCTACAGTGCACAGGGCAGACCCCTACAGCAAAGAATTATCCCATCCAAAATGTCCATATTGCCAAGGTTGAGACACTTTGATTTAGAGGGTGCCCAATCTTCCTTTACTAATTTTATTTCTCTTGCTGAAGTCAAAAGTAGTGATTATCGTTGGAATTTTATGGTTCCCTGCCTGTTTTTTCCAAATCTGTCTTTCAATGGCAAAACTATTTTGTCCGGTGGAACTATTTTGTCTGTCTTCCTAGTTGAAACAAGAATGGAGGGCAGATTTCTCATTTCTTGAAGGCAGCAAGCACCTTAGGCATTCTCCTACCACATTGTGCCAGAGTCTGGTATAAATGGCAGGTTTGCATGAGAAGGCTGGTTTCATAACTGACCTGAGAGCGTTTATGAAATCTTGGTGCTGACAGCAACAGGTTGCCTGAGTAGAGCACAGAGCCCTTGATATGACATGGAAAGGAGACTAAATAATTAAGTGCTATATTTTTACAAGCTTCTTGATCTGAAGGTCATTACTCCTTTTTACTCCTTTTTACCAATATGTCTGGAAGAAAGTATACTCAGTGGAAGTCTTGTTGAAATGAAACACACTTCTGAATCAATTTTATATTCCTCCAAAGAATCTTTAATCACAGAGCTGAACATCAGAAGTAATATAATGAGATAAGAAAGTGAACAATATTCTAAGAAATCAAACTCATGGCTCTCAAACACAAGTCTACATAATTCAATCTAAGAAAACATAATAATTGTTAAGCATCCACTGCAGACTTAGGCCCTATCTCCAAGTAATAATATAAATCTATTTTTTCATTTTCAAAATTAAAAACCATTCTTCATATACCTTCTGTCTTGGTTCTTTTGCATTTCATTCTGTAGGCACACATCCAAAGCCCAACTTGTAGTAGGGAATTAAATAGGACTAGCATAAACAAGCCAATTTAAGGAGACCTTAGAGGGTAAAATATTATAATTGGAAGCAAGCTTGCCATGATTGGAATTGCCGCTGTCAGTTTGGAGGAAAACTCTCCTTAGGTATATGCCGAATGATGTCAGCTGCTGTCCTCAAAGCTGCCACTATTCTGGCAAGAATGAAAATGCATCGGGCTCATGGGATCAAATACATACCCTGTATCAGAAAAGAGAAGTTCAGTTAGTTCAGTTAGTACTTATTAGCCTTTCATTACATCCCCCTGTTTTTCTTAACCCGCCTGACCCAGTGCAATACACAGCTTACCAGGCATCTCTCCCACGTAATGTGAACCTAGAGTCCGGACAATGGTTGCTGGTGAGTAGTTGCAAAGCAGAAGCAAAATTTATAATGAGAACAGAGAGCTGAGAATAAATGAATATAAATGATGGATTGCTGATTTGGACCTAAGCTGGCCAGGTAGCATCTGGGATTTGGATAAAGAAGGGTACAGTTCAGGAAAGCCGTATGTCAAGATGGCTAAAGGCACACAGGCTTTTTATGTTGGGAAAATCTGGTTTTAAGTGCTGGCTCCACTACTTGCTGGCTCTGTGACTTTTGTCAAATTTTCTAAGCCTCAGTGTCTTCATCTCTAAACGGGAGAAATAATAGTACTTATTTATAAGGTCGGCAATGTCCATATGACAATTAGCAGTGTCTGCTACACAGTGAGTACTAAACGAATGATGGCAAAAAAAGGAAGGTGGAGGTGGCAGTACAGAAAAAGGAAAGAGTCTTTCTCTACAGCAGGTTGGCTCTGTTTGTTTTCTTCTCCCCAGTAGACAGGTTTTTAAGTGTACATCAATGCTTAGGTCTAAATACCAGTGGCTTTTGACACCCTTTGAAGCAATAGTCCTGGGTGTGTCCAGAGAGTGGACCCCGGTGGCGCAGGATCAGGCCACTGCCCTAGAGAACAAGAGGGGCGTGTGCGGGGCGGCAGCTAGTTGCCTGTTCACGATGAATTAAGGAAGCCACTCGTTGCTTCTGTGAAAATGGGCACATTTGTCAACAGCTATTGCTGCTTTTGCTCCCCTTTGATAGCTGAGTTTTCAGAACTGACCCAGCCATCTACATTTTCATTAAGACGGCTAGCAATATGCAGTTGGATAGGTATATTTATTTTCATAAGAAAAGTCTCTGTCAAACTATCATAGGCAGCACATAAACTCTTCCGAGAGGAAATGCCACTGCTGCTGACACTGCTGCCAACGGGCCCCCCCTGCTCACCTCTTGCGGGATGGGCCCTGGTCAGAGATGAGAGAGGTTGTGACAGGGAGAGGAGGCAGGACACACATCACTGAATCTTAACCCTGGGTGGACTAAAACATAGTCTACATCCTAGAGAAAAATATTTCCTTTCATCCAGCCTAAAAATGTGACTTCATTTTCGACATAAATAGATTCTTTAATAAGCTGGTAATCCTTTTATGACTATAATCAAACTTCCAGTGTACCACAGGCAATTTTCCTGGCCTGTGATGTTCCAGTGTCTCTCATCCCACAGGACTGCAGTGGAAATCTGATTGTGAACATACATCCCACCAGTGTGGGCGGGCTCTCCCTCGGGGATGGGGTAGCAAAATCAGCAGGGCATTGAGGCTGGCATTTATTACTGATGCTATTATTACCAGAGTGTAAGGACAGATATGTTAGGCTTGTGTAGCCACTCAGTGGAAGAGGGACTCAACTGAATTTTGACCACAGGCTTTAGGAAAAGACTGAGCCACGTCTGCATGTTTTGTTACTTTAGGGTGAAAGGTCTCAGGTAGAGAGAAAACAGTTATGTACTTAATTTTATCTTCATTCTCTATCTCTGCTCTTTGCAGGGAGGAAGAAAGAGCTCATAAAGTTGCTGTTATACCACAATTGGTTTATGAAATGGAATTGAGGGCAATTAAAGGATTCTTTCTTGTATGATGTGATGTTCTGAGTGGGAGATATTAAGCGTATCTTCTTTGTCTACAGGGACTCTCACTCCATCCAAACACCCTGATGTTTTCTTCTATCCCTGGCACAGATACGAGTAAGAAAACTCAACTTTTGCATTATTACATCACATTTGTCTTCTCCATCTTGAGGAATTCTTCTTAAAGGTCTATTTCTTTAAGAAACAAATCTTTGAGTTCAAGAAATGCTTCCCCTTGAAACTTCACCATGAAAGGAAAGACTTCTGGTCAAAGCACACATTTCAAAGGGCACCCTATATTTTGAGGTTGTGAAATCGCATCTATACAGGTTTGAGGAAATGATATTATGTCTATTAAAAAATGTGATGATGTGACACTTGGAGCACATTTTCCCCTCACAAGAGTCTGTTACCGAACTGGCCAATTATGTTGTAAAGCTGATGATAAAAAGCACTCAGCTGCATTCTAGACACGTATTGGGAGTCAGAAGCACGGAGTTTCCTTTCTTTAATGTACCCAAGTAGTTTGTCTGCATCTATCCAGAACATTTTTTTCTTTGTTTCTTAAAAGCTTTCTAATGCCTTAGGTAATGGTACTCTGCAGATGAGGTGAATTAGTGAGGATCCCAAAGCCCAGGGTCTCTGGGGTCTTTGGCCACCTATATCAGAGAACGAGGCATGCATCATCCGATTTATTCTCCCCCAAACCAAGCTCTTGTAATAAATCTGATCTATTTAACTGGCAGACATTTTTTCAGTCCTCCATATAGTCAAAGGAAGTTGCAATGAATAAATGGGCCTATTGTGCTCAAATTCCAATTAAATATAGAGCCTCTCAGGCTTAAAGGTTGGAAAAAGGACATCTCAGCCCTAGCACATTGATATGGTAGCTGATGATAAAGGCAATTGTCCATCCTCTGGCTTCCAGAGGCCTGCAAAGGACTTCTTAATTATTTCAAAGACCTTTATTAATTCTTTCTGAAGCAGCCCTGTGAAATGGATCCCATCGACTCTCCCTTCACCTCCTCTCCTGCCGTTTGAAGGCATGGCTGGAATTACACTTCAGCCTGGCTAAAGGGGAAAGAGCTCTCCGAGCATATTATGTAATTGAGGAAGCTCATGTCCTGTTTTACTTCTCCCTACCTACACAACCTGTATGTGGAGCTTAGAAGTAATACACTCAATAAGGTGTTGACAAAGTGTTCGGAATGTCACAAGAGGCAGGAGAGGCATATACACACACACGCTCACACATACCACACACCCGTGCAAGTTCACACACGTGCTCACATACACATATTATTAAGCTTAACAGTAAATGTAGAGTTAAAAAAGACAAGATCAGATTTTGTCCTTGGATAATATAATATTTTTAAAGCATCTGCCATTTTTAGACATTACAATATACAATGATTTCTCCTTTTTTATCAAGTAGATATCACCTTCCTTGGGGTAGTTTCGTTAATAAATCTAAACGATCTGTCTACTTACCGTATTTGTCAATTGGTGAGTACTGAAGACTTCTTTTCATGTCCTCCAAAGACAGGCCTTGAGAGGAACATTGTCCAGCACTGGAAAATTAATGAAACACACAGTTTCACACTGTGGTAATTTGCTAAAAACAATTATATTAAACAGAATTTATTCACTCAGCATAGATCCCAGAGAAATGCCCAAATGATACAAAGATGTTTTTATCTTATAAATTGGCAGTCCCCAATCTTTTTGGCACCGGGGACTGGTTTCACGGAAGACAGTTTTTCCACAGACCTGGTGGGGGTTTGGGGGGTGGGGAGTGGTGGTGGGGAAGGGCTGAGGTGGGCAGGAGACAGAGCGCAGGCAGCGATGTGAGTGATGGGGAGCAGAGATGGGGACGGACTGTAAAAAAAGATGAAGCTTCACTTGCTAGCCTGCCGCTCACCTCCTGATGTGCAGCCCAGTTCATAACGGGCCACAGACCAGACTGGTACTGGTCCAAGGATGGGTGGGGGTGGAGATTGCAGTTGTAAATGACTAGCTGGGGAAGGGTTCAGAATTATTTGGTGTAAGTTAGATCTAAGTGTGAGTTCTGGCTCTTTACATAGGTTACAATTCCTGGCAGTATAACTTTGGGCATGTCACCTTTTCTGAGCCTGTTTAGTTATCTGTAGAATGGAAAAGTACATAAATAATTTCTAGATTGTTGTAATGATTAAATATAAATCAAAAGGGCTATTGAATCTAAATCTGGGTTAATATGCTTTCAATCCTTACTTAAAAGAAACTAAGACAAAGAACATTATTATCTTAGTAATAATATAAATAAAACACATCCCAAGAAGTATTATTATTATTATATTGCTTTTATGACAATGAGAATTATAAGATAGAGTGATAATAAAATTTATTGCATGATTCCTGTGTGTTAAGCATTTACATATAATCATCTCATTTAATCTTTATCACTATGGTATCATTTTTCTCATTTACAAATAAGAAAACTGAGGCTGGAACAAATAGCTTGTTACACAGGTTTGGCAAGCCGGTACCTAGGATTGAAACCCAAATATTTTAGATTCCAAAGCCTATGTATTTATCCACTCTTCAAGTATGAATTTCTTCCGGATTCCTGCTCTTCATGCTCCTTCTATTTTCCCAAACACCTTCACTCTCTTACCATTTTGGTTAATGGGGTCACTTCCTTCCTTGCTCATCAGACTCAAAACCTGAAGTTATCAAAGCCCTCTTTCTAATATCTAATTGCATCTGTCAGTTAATTGTATATATATAATCTCTCTTGCATCCAGTCATTCTTTACCATTCTCAAAACAGCCACCATAGTTATCCCCCAAATGTCCTCACTGTGCCCATAGAACACAGAATTCCCAGCCCCCACGCCAGTTTCCATTTCAGTTACCAGCACTATATTATTCAGTGCCTTAAGCCAATATTCTTGGAGTCATCCTTGTTAGTACCTTTCCTTCTCTCATATATCTCACTCAATTCAAGTGTTTTAGCTCTGCCTCCGAAATATAATCCTAATCGAGCCCTCTTCTCTCCTCCTTCAAGTTCTAGGCCACATAATCTTTTTCTTGTCTGGACCTCTGCAATTGCCCCCCAATTGGTCTCCCTGCTTTCACTTCTTCCCCTTATCATCCATTCTCCATAGATTGTCCAGAATGATCTTTTCATTCCCACGGCTTCGCAGTTCATTTGGAATAAGATGCAAATCAGTGCTCTACCCTCACCCACAAGGTCCTGACCCTGCCTACCTCTCAAATCTCACCCTGTACCTCTCTCCCCATCTTTGGCTAAGCATTTCTTTTTGGCACTTATTCCTATTGTTCCAGGAATGCTCCAAGCTCTTTCCCAGTTCAGGGCAAGTTTGTTAAGGCTGCCTGGAATGCTCCTCTCAACGAACACAAATCCCATTTTGCAGAACCTCGCCCCGCCTTCACCTCTGACTGGCTCCTCTGTCATTCAGACCTTGGTTCAAATGTCACTTTCTCAGCAAGGCCTTTGCTGACCACCATTCCTAAGTGACCATTCCTCTGCCCCTGGTCACTCTCTATCACATTACATCACCCTATTTCTTCCTTTCAGAACTATGTAAAATTATCTTGCTTTTTTATTTGCTCACTTATACACCCTCTGTATTTTTCCTACACAGCCAGGGTGGGGACTTATCTCTCTTGTTCTCTGCTATATCCTCAATACTCAGAACAGTGCCTGGCACGTACGAGGAGCCCAACTCTTTTTAGTCAATTAATAGATCCCTAAATGATGTCCTTCCCTCCAGTCACTCAATCCTACCCCCTAAACAAGGTCTTACTATAACAAAAATCTTACCATAGCCCTCCCCTGCTTTCCCCTGCAATTCCTCAAACCCATGTTTCAAGCCCTCTACAATCCACTCCTCCCATGTTCTGTGTGTATCTTGTATTCTACAATTCCTCAATACCTGTTTTTCAATCAAGCCACACTAATGGACTTTAGATTTTCCAAACATTCCTGAATTTTCTCTTCTCTGTGGTTGGGGCTGAGCTGTTCCCACTGCTCAAATGTGCTTGTTGACATCTTATCTATCCCTGACAGGAAGCAGTATGGTGTCAGGGTTAAGAATGAGCATTCTAGTGCCAGATGCCTTGAATTTGAATCCTGACTCCATCACTTACTACTTTTGACCTCTGGCAAGTTATTTAACTGCTCTATGTCTTAGTTATGCAACTATAAAACAGGAATCATAACAATACGTAGCTTATAAAGTTAATAGTAATAATTTATTTAATAAAAAGTTAATAAATTTAAAGGACTTTCAACACTGCTGGCATTTAGTAAGTACTCAATAAATGTTGCCTACTTTTATTATTCTTCAAGGTCCAGCTCAAAGGCAGTATCTTCTTTGAAGCCTTCTTGAAAACCCCCAGTCAGAATTAACCTGTCCTTCTTCCACACCCCTCTAGAATTTTATGCTCCTACCACAGGGCTTCTCAGAGTCTGCCTTGGTATCGAATGATCTGCATTTGATGCTAGTGAATCCTATTACACAGAGAGCTCCTGGAGGTCGGAGATTCTGTCTAACATCTTTGGATCCCCCATAGGGTTTAGTCAATACTCTGTAAATAGTTAAAATAAAAGTGTGTTGAATGAAATAAAATTAAGTTATTACAAAATGTACATTTAGATACATCAGATTTTTCTAAAAACTAACATTAGTTCACATTGATTAATTCACTTAGCTGCCTTAAAAATGACTGCATTTTTGGCCTAATTTCCTTAAACTGTAGAGATGCTGTTTCTTAAAGCAATGATTAAAAAGAAGATAAAGTTTTGGCTTAGAAAGGGACATGATGTGATCTCAATCGACATTAAATGACAATAGAATGTCACTCAAAATATTTTCAAAATATAATTTCCTTTATTAATATATGTATCCTCTTTAGCACTCCAGCTCCTCTTAAGAAATGTGCTATACACAGTAGTCTTGGCAACAAAGATAATAGGAAATAAATATTTTATCACCAAAATGGCTATTTGGTTTCCTATGAATAAAAGCCCATCTCCAAGCTGCTCTGTTTGTTCAATTGCTGAATGCAATTCATGCCAGGGGACTTAACCTGTTTGCCCAAGAGATACCACACAGCCTGGCTCCAGGCTGTTCTAGGATGACAGACAGATGGAAGCTAAGCATGCCCAGGTCAAACAAAACAGAAGAAACCAGACCCTGATCAATGGAACTAGTCGTTTGTTTACAACCCACATGAATCTAGACTTCAACGAGGGTTTCACAGATAATCAGAGTTTAAGGTACAGCAGGAACTCTGTTTGCTGAAGCTGTGGTCAGTGAAAATAAGGAACTTCCAGTGATGCAGCTGCCCCATGAATTCAACAAAAGTAAGTGTGAACTAATAGCAGGTAAGGAAAGAATTCAATTTTGCAGAATTTCAATATCGTTGGTCAACTAGATAGTCTTCTTTATGCTAAAAGGATAATATATATAATAGATAGGTATATATATGAATGATATATAATACCATATGGGTACTTTTGTGTATGCATTTTGTGAGTTTGGAATGAAATTTTCTCTTATAATAAGAGAATAAGGTAGTCTTTAGGTTAGTTTTTATATACTACCACATTATGTTGATACACTGTATTTTAGTGTAAAAAGTTTGTCATTTTAGGCCAGATAATTCAAATTAGCTCTGTGTATATATGTAAAGATAAATATAATCATTGGCCATTATCTCTTATAAAGGTGCATTAGGAAATGAATAATTTATCCAAAATGAAGAGCAGAACCAAAATTAAAAAAAAATGTATTTCTTATTTCTTAATCCACATTTTAGGAGTATAGACTTCCTAGTAAACATCTGCTAATTAGGTCAGTTCACATCCAAATCCACAATATGTAGTCTATATTTTTGTGCATGCATGTCATTCAGGCCATGGCTTCTCAGAACAAACTAGTCTGTTTGCAAAGGATCACATTTTCTGTGAATGGACTCATAAACCCTGGGCAAAGGTAGAAACCAGGGCATTTAAAACTAATGACAGAAGACCTATGAAGAAGGGGAAGAGTGCTAGAAGACAGAATATATGTAAATATAGCCTCAAATCCCCAAAGAAGAGTAAAGCAGAGTCTACAAACTAAACTAGTGAATTAATGTACATTCCAGTCAAAGCTCCAGAAAGGAATGATTAAAACAGGTTTTCTGCACACTGATTACTAGATGCTACCATAAGTTTGTTAAGAAGAGAAAATCATTCTAGATTTGCTTTATTTCTTTTTGGTGAAGGTAAATATAGAGAGGAAATCAATAGGCTAGAACAGACAACTAGATTCTAGAAGGATGTTAGACAGAGTTGCTCCTCACAGCTGTAAATAAGAAAGAGAGATCTGTGCCAAATGACAAGTGCTTAATTGTTACTGGTTGAATACCCAGAAGTAGTGAAGACATTCCATATAAGTGATATTCCCATAGGGTTAAGTTGTGCCTTAGATATTGATAACAATTAAAATAAAACATCACATTTCCAAAGGTTAGAATTGTCCAAAATTAGATTGAGTTGTTCTAGAAAGGGGTACTGT